ACACACACACACACACACACATATATATAAGAGCTACAGATGGTACAAGCACACAATTCCTGCTTTCCTCAGCACAGTCCCATCCTTGTGCCTTTAATGCCCACTTAAGAGCCTTATCTTCTTATTGTTATGTTAGGCATTGCTGCGACCATATTTGGGGATATTGTGTCCAATTTTGGTTGTCTTACTTGAGGAAGGTTGTGGTGGCACTGTAGGCAGTTCAGAGGAGGTTCACCAGATTGATTCCAGGGATGAGAGGGCTGTCGTATGAGGAGCAGTTGAATAGCTTGCGCTTATAGTTGCTGGAATTTAGAAGAATGAAGGGGGATCTGATTGAGGTTTATAAAATGCTAAAGGAAATTGTTAAGGTGGACGTTCAATGGATGATCCCCCTTTTGAGGCAATCTCGAACAAGATGTCATAAATATAGAGTGAGAGGAAGTAGGTTCAAAACTGATGAGCAGAAACTACTTCTCTCAGAGGGTTGTGAATCTGTGGTACTCACTGCCCCAGAGTGCAGTGGAGGCAGAATCAATCAACAGATTCAAGAAAGAAATAGATATGTTTCTGATGAAAAGCAGGATAAAGAGCAATAGGGAGCAGGCAAGACAGTGGAATTGAGACCAGGAAAAGATCAGCCATGGTTATGTTAAATGGCAAGGCGGGCTCGAAGGGCTGAATTCCCTGCTCCTGCTCCTAATTCCTATATTCCTACGCTATTGTTGGTATTCACCTAGAAGTAGGCAGGTGGGTATTGCAGGAAACCAAAAAGTGAACTTCGTCAAAGTTGTTTTCAGGCTTTTGGGGGTGGAGTGGGGTTTCTGGCTCAAATGCATTCAGCGCCTAATCAAGGGATTCAGCAATCATAAAGTCCAGCCTCACAGAGAGCTTGCTAACTATCCTTGCTGCTGATGCTTTTACACCTCCCAGCTCAATGGCACTCCCTCCAAAACCCAGCTGTGGCCTTGAGCCCCTTAACAATTCTGGGCCTCAAGTGGGGGCAGTACCAGCATTGGCTACTGCCTCCCCACTGGCTCAGTCATGTAATGAAGAGTTTCCAGCATTGAATTGTTTTGCAGTTCTTCGAAGGCAGGACCTGCACCTTCATGGTCCTTCGCTCTGGGTAAGGTCTGCTGCTGTGCAGGTAAATGCTCTCACTAGTTCTCCAGCTAGCAAGGCCCCCAATATGCTCATTAAATTTTACATTTTGTATTTTTTTTCTGAGTAATTATTGGATTGTGCAGTAAATGTTATCTTGTCCCTGGCACCCAAATCCAAAGAACAATTTTTTAAAATCTGTTACGAAAATTGTTTGTACTTGAATTGTCCAACTTTTGAACAACATGAGACGTAGTGGAACTCCTACGTGTTATCTGGTACGAAATAATGGGTTCATTGTTAGCTTGGAACATGCTGTCCCAGGTTATTTTGTGCAGAAGGTCAAGTTTCAGTTCATATACAGCAAAGCTTTGCAAATACAAGTGGATTTTTGTGCTTCATACAAGAAACAATCAATGGGATAGTTTTGGATTGTAGTTGTCATCTGAAGCTAAATCTTGTGTTGCACAAACTGAACTTCTTCTTGCCCCCTTGACTGATTCGGTACCAAAATGACTTTCGGCTCTGAAGCAGCACCTGTTTTAATCATGGTGCTTCCTGATTGTGAAATCCTTGCCAAAATCATCAATTTGAGGGGTGACTTCTCCTTTCCCTATTCTAGTTCCTAGGCAAGCACTTATTCCCATCTTTAATTTCCCTTTAGAAGTTAGTCATGAGCAGCCTTCTTGAACTGCTATAGTCCATTGAGTGCAGGTAGACCGACAGTGCTGTTAGGGAAGGAATTCCAGGATTTTGACCCAAATGATAGTAAAGGAATGACAATATAGTTCCATGTTAGGATGGTGAGTGGCTCAGAGGGGATCTTGAAGGTGGTGGTGTCCCATGAATTGACTGCCCTTGTCTAGCTATGTGATAGAGGTCACGTATTTGGACGGTGCTGTCGAAGGAGCCTTAATGAGATGCTGTAAAGCATTTTAACTGGTACATACTGCTGCTACAATTGGTAATTAGTTAAGTGAATGTTCAAGGTGGTGGATAAGTTTTGTTCAAGTGGTTTGCATTGTCCTCAATTGTGCAGAACTTTGAGAGTGTTGATGAAGCTACACTCATCCAGGCAACTGGAGAGTATTTCGTCACATTGTTGACCGGAATATTGTAGATGGTGGACAAGTTTTGTGGAGAAAGGAGTTAACTTACTGGCCAGGTAAATCCTATCCTCTGACCTGTTCTTGTAGCCATAATACATATATGGCTAGACCTGTTCAGTTTTTGGTCAAATTGCAGGATGTCAATAATGAGGAATTCAGGGATGGTAATGCTATTTAATGTCAAGAGGAGATGATTAGTTTCTGTCCAGTTAGAAATGGTCATTGCCAGGTATTCCTGTGTAGTAAACGATACTGGTCCAGATCTAATATTGATGATTCCCAAGACAGTCCTTATACTGTACATTACTGTGATGCCATCTCTGGTCTCATTCATTTTTATTGACAATCAACAGTGGTTTCATGGTTGCCATTAACCTAGCATTTAATTCCGGATTTATTAATTTGAGTAAAATTCCGCCATCTGCGGTGGTGAGATTAAACCTGTGACCTATGAGCATTAACATGTCCAGGACATGACTGCACTACTGCCTCCCCCATTATATTACCTCCTTTCTCCACCCTTAATGAACTCCACTATATCCAAACAGTGCAGCTTTTGATTCTTTCTTGTACAATTCCAAGGAAAAGGAAAGACAGGAGAAGTAGGGTGTGTATCCCCAGCTGCTTGCATTGTTGCCTCAGAAGCCCATACGAATGTAAGGTTCACTTAGATTGTACCAGTGTGTCCATAATCACCATAAAATATTATGATTATTCTTCCCCTCCACCATCTACCCAGAATGGTAGGAGTGTGTATCATCCACAATATGCACTGCACCATATCATGAAAGTTCCTTTAACAGCACTTTCCAAAATCAGTGACCTCCAGTAGCTAATATAGCTGCATGGGAACAATATCTCCTGTCAGTCCCCCTCCTTGCAACACACCATCCTGACTGGTCCATTATCACTAGGGATAGGGTTGGGCTCAGCTATATTCATTCTGTGGCAAAGGAAACCTTTTGATGCTATTGACAAGGCTCACACAAATTATTGGATGTTTTTTAGCTTGATAGCAAATTGCTATTGAAGTTAAACAGTACATGATACTTTTTATGGCTTCCTGAATAACTGTCTTGATGTAAAACTTTAAATAGCATTCTTAGTGCAAATGAGCCCCTCCTATTCTCATTCTTGTCTGTAAACAAAGAAACAAATGAATTCTTTATTGTTTATCTGGGGCGCCATAAATTCTGTGGAGAAACAGCACCTACTCATGAAACATTTTCCTTTATATGCTCTGCCCACCATTCTTTTTAAGTAACTATTTTATTTCCAAACAATATTTTTATTATTTTATATTGTGTTTAGAATTACCACATGCCACCTTTAATTTGACTACTTTTCAAGAAATCTCATAGAAAATCAAATACTGAAACAATTATTCAAACTTATGTTGGTTGCTACAGGCAATAAAGACCCTTCAAGTAAGCAAGTTTAAGCCTCACAACCCAAATTGGTTATTATCTGATTAATGGTGGAATTTAGCCACAATTCCGACCAACAGGGTCTATCTCTGGAAGTGTCCAGGGTTTGATCCTTGTGCAGTGTTGTTCTTTGATGTTCTGATCCTGGAATTAAATTCTTATATAATTTTTTGTCCTTCAAGTTTGTGGTGTGACATTTCTGATGATACTTTAGATTCTTTCTTCCACAATATTGCAATTCTGCAGTTTGACTGATCATCAGAAGTAGCTTCCTTGTTCCTTGTTACGTTTGGCATGGACTGTCTGTTTGAAGACACAGATTTCCTGTGATTAACTCCTTAAATTCTCCTGCGGGGTAATCATTTGTCTGTGGGGCATAAAGCAGCCATTTATCAAGCCGTTGCTAGAACAGTTTAATGTAGCTTTGACTCCTCCTTTTCCCAAGCATGGCTAATTGCTCTCAATCTCTGTATAACTGTTTGTCCTTGTCCCTTAACCATTTATTCTAGGCAGTTATTATTGCTTCTTTCAATCTATGACCGTTTATTAAAGTTTTGAAGTTTACACTATCATATTATTGTAATATCAATAAATGATCTTTTTATTAATTCTTTACATTAGTCTCCATTCTCACCTGTTGAAGACAGGGATATCTGTTGACCAACCCATCTCTCAATGTGAATGGGCAGGTAGAGAAACAACGGCAGAATTTTACCAAAGGTGATTGGACAAGACATTCAAGCGAAACATGGGTCTCCAGCTCAACACTGACTGGCACTAGGCCTGACCTGGTGATGTTATCATAGTGGACACTGGGCACACTGGTGGATTGATGTGCTCAGAATGTTGCCGGCCCAATTACAGAACAGGAAGCTCTCAAGTCTCGGCAGTGCCACTAGGAGAAATAGACCCTGCCTGAGGAGGGAAACCTTGAGGCTCCACTAGGTAAGTAAATAAAAATTAAAGGGTGCTCAGGAATGCAGGGAAATTCCTCACAGCCGGGCCAGCATGGTTGTAAAATTAGCCAAAAAAAGGCCCTAATTGTACAAATAATCTGCCCGTCTCTTTCGGGCAGGCGCAGTCATTCAGACTTCTGAAATGAAGCTCCAGAACTACCAACATGTTCATTTCCAAGTATTACTATTTTTCCCCTCTAGGCTGCCTCAAGGAAACTTTCCTGGCAGCATGACAGGACTGTGTTATGGTGACCTGTACTAATGGTAACATTAATCAAAATTTTAAAAAGTTCTTTCAGTTGTAACGTAATACAACTTTTTGAAAACTTTCCTGTGTCACAATAGGCCACGTATATCAGTATATCTGAGGCATTTGGATGTGTTTGACAAAGGATTAGAAAACAGAGCATGCAAATAGGCCTCTTCTAGGTATAAATGAACAATAAGGAAACAAGCAACCTGCAAAAACACAGACAGTATATACATTCAGGAGAATGAGGAACAATGAGTCATCAGTTGGTCTTATCACCCAAATATATACATTACGTCAGCAACCATGACTCTGCATAACACAATGGAGGCCAGCTGATAAATGCTTTTGACAAAGAGCAGACTGACACGTGAAAATGTTACCACACAATTAATTTGTAATAGAACCTGGTTCCTCCAGGCACAGGAAAGAATTGATTTCTTTAATACGAACGCTAGATATGCATACCTGTTTGTGTCCAAAACAACTTTGAAATTAACTTCAACGTGAACAGTTAATGTTTATCGCTTTTTGGCATGTGTATGCATCTGCTTTAAATGGTGGGGACTGTACAAAGTCTGCTTCTACCACCTTTTCAGGAAGGCATTCTATATTCATGGGAAGCCACTGCTTAGAAGGAGATTCTTGTGTCACATTTTGCCTCTTATCTTAAAAATGTACATTGCATTATGATAACAGCGGAGATCTTGCAGTGGTGTTTTGTCTACCTACAAGGCAGAAGCGTGTGGTTCATGTCCCACATCAAGATTTGGTGGCCATGGAAGATGAGTCATAATGAGACGAAAAAGCTTGAATATCAATCTATAAATCTTTCTGAAATGTGGATGCTACGAGTGGGAGAGTTACCTCGTCAGCCAGAACCATGTGGTAGCTGCATTGCAACAGCCTCATCGCATTAAAGGTTTCCAGTGCCAACTTCGTCCTGAAGACTGTCACACACACGACCACTTAATAGCAACTTGGGATCTCTAGTCAGAAGTCACACAACACCCGGTGATAGTCTAACAGGTTTATATGAAATCATAAGCTTTCGGAGCACAGCCCCCTCCGTCTGGTGAAGTGAAAGAGAAGCACTCAGAACACAGAATTTATGGACAGAGAGATCAAAAGATCTTACAAATGGTGTGAGTCGAGTGCCTAATAATAAGTCCTTGCAGGTTATCAAAAGTGTTAGATGGTGTGAATAAAGTATCAACAGCAGGATAACAAGTGAAGGGATGACCTATCATCCAATTGAATGAGGTAGAGAGATAATTACAAAAAATTAAAAATAAGGTGATGCTGGAGCCAAAGCGTATGACTGGAATAACATAATAGGTAAAAGAGTCACATACCAAAGTTCTAACTGAAGTGGTAAGTAATCCAAAAGTGTACAAACTAATTAAGGTAGAGAGATCATAACAATTTATCAAGGTGATGGTGTCAAAACAGGCCAGTAAGGAAGATTTTACAGATACAGAAGAGTGTAGTGGGGTCACATGTAGCATGACATGAACCCAAGATCATGGTTGAGGTCACCTTCATGGGTACGGAACTTGGCTATCAGTTTCTGCTCAGTCATTCTGCATTGTTGTGAATCTCAAAGGCTGCCTTAGAGTACGCTTACCCAAAGATCGGAAGCTAAATGTCCTTGACCGCTGAAATGTTCCCTGACTGGGAGGGAACATTCCTGTCTGGCAATTGTTGCACGGTGTCCATTCATCTGTTGTAGTGTCTGCATGGTCTCGCCAATATACCATACCTTGGGGCACCCTTACCAACAGCGTATGAGATGGACAACATTGGCCGAGTCATATCAGTATCTGCCACGTATGTGATGGGTGGTGTTCCCTCTCATGATGGTAGTGTTCATATCGATGTTCGGACATATCCTGCAGAGGTTACTAGGGCAGCCTTGTGTGGTGTTGTGGTCAATGTTGTCCTGAAGGCTGGATAGTTTGCTGCGAATGATGGTCTGGCTAAGGTTTGGCAGTTGTTTGAAGGTGAGAAGTGGGGGTGTAGGGATGATCTTGGCGAGATGCTCATCATCACCAATGACATATTGAAGGCTGCAAAGAACATGGCGTAGTCTCTCTGCTCTGTGGAAGTACTGGACGACGAAAGGTACTCTATCGCTCTTATCCTGTGTCTGTCTTCTGAGGAGGTTGTTGCGGCTTTTCGCTGTGGCACGTCAGAATTTGTGATCGATGATTTGAGCTTCGTATCCCGTTCTTATGAAGGCGTCCTTCAAAATCTTTAGGTGTCCATCGCATTCCTCCTCATCTGAGCAGATCCTGTGTATGCACAAGCCTTGTCAGTATGGGATAGCTTCTTTAATATATTTAGGGTGGAAGCTAGAGAAGTACAGCATCGTGAGGTTATCCCTGGGCTTGCGGTAGAGTGAGCTACCGAGGTGTCCGTCCTTGATGGAGATGCATGTGTCCAAGAATAAGACTGATTTTGAAGAGTAGTCCGTGGTAAATCAGATGGTGGGGTGAAACTTGTTGATTGATATTGCTATTTAGTCATTTCACTGATTCCTCGCCATGACTCCAAAGGAAGAAAATGTCATCAATGTATCTGGTGTATAACATCGGTCGGAGGTCCTGCGCAGCAAAGAAGTCTTGCTTGAACTTGTGCATGAAAATGTTGTCATATTGAGGAGCCAATCTGGTCTCCGAGGCAGTTCTGTGTGTCTGGATGAAGAACTGGTTGTCAAAGGTGAAGATGTTGTAGTCGAGGATGAAGCACATGAGTTGTAGGATGGTATCTGGAAATTGGCAGTTGTTGGTATTGAGTACTGTGCTTTTACAGCAATGCTGTCATCGTGGGGGATGCTGGTGTAGAGTGCTGAAACGTCCATTGTGGTGAGGAATATTCCTGGTTTAATTGGTCCGCGCGTGCTGAGTTTCTGTAAGAAATCTGTAGTTTCCCAACTGAAACTGGGGGTTCCTTGTATATTGGGTTTCAAGATGCCCTCAATATAGCCAGAGAGGTTCTCGCACACGATCCAATTGCCTGTTACGATGAGACATCCAGGTGTGTTGGCTTTGTGTATCTTCAGAAGGCAGTAGAAGTCTCCTATACGAGAAGTACGTGGATGAGAGTGCATAGGGTACTCTGAAGGTCTGGATCAAAGATCTTGATCAGTCTGTTCAGTTGACGGGTGTGTTCTTTGGTTGGATCAGCAGGAAGTTGTCTGTAGTGTTCCTGGTTTTTCAGTTCTTGGTACGCTTCTTTGCGTACGATGGCTCCTCCTTTGTCTGCTGGTTTGATGACAGTGTTGTGATTGGTCTTGAGAGCATGGATAGCATTGTGTTGTGCTTGGGTGTGACATTCTGTATTATCTTGTGAGCGCGGCTGATGAATCTGGTGTTAATGCATCTCCTGACGGCTTGAGCATACATGTTGAGCCTGGGGCAGCAGCTTTCTGGAGGGGTCCAGCTCGATTCCTTCTTCTTTGGTCACTGCTCCACAGATGTCTCTGTTGACTGTTCCTGTTTGTTGGTTGTCTCATTGGGCTCGCTGCTGACATCTTGGGGTTTGTGGAAGAATTCCCAGAGCCTCAATCACTTGATGACTTCGTCTGTGCCTGCCACGAGACCAATGGGGTCCATTTTGGTAGTGAGGCAGAAATTAAGCCCTCGGCTGAGAACTTCAATCTCGTCCAGTTGAAGGGTGTGGTCAGACAAGTTGATGGATTTCCCTGTGGTGGTACAGTTGTCAACTGTGATACCAGTGGAGGCTTGGTACTCCTGGTGGTGATACCAAGTTTCTCCAGTTTCTTGTTCTCTGTGTGCACAGTGTCTTGTAGCTGGTCCACAATATTCTGAGTGCAAGCTGAGAATATGGACTCTATCTCGATTTCAAGGTAGCAGCATCTGCTGTATTGTTGGTGTACAAGATGATTGAGGAAAGTGCAAGAGATGAGACAGCAGAGTTTCCCAGTGTAGTCTGTGTTGTAGGTCAACTTGAGTGGGTTCGTGATCTTCAGTCCTTTCGGGATTTTCTCTGCTTTCTTGTATCTCTGCAGAAATTTGATGTCTGTGTCAATATACGCAATCTTCTCGGAGATCCTCTCCATTCTGAGCTGGCAATTCATGGTATCGATGGTAGCCATGATGTGGAGGTGCCAGTGTTGGACTGGGGTGGGCTAAGTCAGAAATCACACGGCACCAGGTTATAGACCAACAGGTTTACTTGAGATCACAAACTTTCAAAGCATAGCCCCTTCGTCACATGAAGAGAGAGAGCAGTGCACAGAACACAGAATTTATGAGCAGAGAGATCAAGGGCAGATTGATTGAAAGATCGTACAAATGGTGTATGTGGAGTGTTGAATAATAAGTCTCAGCAGGTGATCCGAAGTGTTAGACGGTATGAGTAAAGTGTCAACAGCTGAATAACAAACGAAGGGATAACCTACAATCTGATTAAATGAGGCAGAGAGATAATTACAAAAAGTTAAAAATAAGATGGTGCTGGAAACAAAGCAAATGACTGGAATAACATGATAGGTACAAGAGTTGCATGCCGAGGGTCTAACCAAAGTAATAAGTAATCCAAAAGTGTACAAACGAATTAAGGTAGAGAGATCATAACAACTTATCAAGGTGATGGTGTCAAAACAGGCCAGTAGGGAAGATTTTACAGATACAGAACAGTGTGGTGGGGTCACCTGTAGCCTGACATGAACCCAAGATTACTGTTGAGGTCACCTTCATGGGTATGGAACTTGG